ATGAAAGAATGAATGTATGCAAGATAGGTTTGGAACAAATTTTAAGTGCTCTAAAAGTTCATAGAATAAATGGTTAAACTTAACTATTTGTAGAATAGCCAGACTAAAAGCAAGGAAGAACTGTGTGTTTTAGAGGGACATGGGGTACACTAAACCATGCCCATATCAGTGGGAACAAGGCTGCCCAAGATAGTGAGCCTTGAATTCCAAACAAAAAGCTTATAAGCTATAGGGAGGTTCACGATTCAAGTGAAGATGGGAAAAATTAATCCAGGTAGGTTAACCTATCATCTGAGTAGAGGACAGTTGGAAGTGGATAGAGAGGTAGCAGTCCCAGAGGGGAGGACAGAGTTAAAGTGCTCAACGGAAGCTACTGAGAGTACTGCTGCCTACAACAGTAAAGCAGCAGCAGATTGTGGGACTGAGCAATCGAATTGGGGGATTAATTGAAGATGGGAAATGAAGAAAAGTATCACACTGGTGTCCTCTAACATGTGCAAACCAGGAGATCTAGAAATAAGAACTACAGAAAGATAAGATGTGAGAATCTTCCAAGTTCTTAAAACATGTAATTTTATTTTCTCCCTAGGACTACAAACAACGAAACAAATTATTATGCTAAAAGAAACCCAGTCGACAATCCATTAATTTCCCAACATCTCTCTCCACTGTACTGTGGGTGGGGCCAGGGGTTTAATAATTGGCATTTAGTCAGACAAACTTGGTTCTATTTCTGTATACCAGGATTCAACCAAATAAAACAAACCTGCTCCACCGTACGAGATAGGGCAAAGAGCAAAGGATTAGAGAGTGCCAGAGCTCTGGTCGTCGTCCCAGCTCTCAAACATTCCCCTGTCCCAGTCCAAGACACAAGATTTCCCTATCTGTACAACTGGCTGAGAGAGGAAGACAGAGGATGAGAGTTCTGCCTGTGTCCACAGAGCACTGGGATTCTGGGGAGGTACTTCAGGAGCCTCCAAGGGGGCAAGGAGAAGCTGAGTGGGCAGTCTCTTTGTCTATCACAGAGAAGCTCTGCTAGCTGTCACATCAGGTTTCATGAAGTCTGTGGAATAATCCACTCCTCTTCCCCACCATTCAGGGGAGATTACTAGTCTGGATACATTTTCTGATTTCCCAAAACATTACAAGTTGATAACTGGTGGTTCTGTAAGGTAATACCACTCAACAATGTTAAAAAGTTTTCACAAAAGCACAAATGACGCACACCCTTTTAGAATTTGGAGGTAGGGGACAGGAATAAACTTTCATTCCAAGAATAAACTTTGAGGTTGGGTGAAGGCAACCAGAGATATTAGCAAATAATGCAAAAGAGCTACAGGTACTTTCACCTTATCTTAATATTTTGCACTAAGGAGCAGGTATCCAGGCATCATTTGAGTGATAAAGATGTATTTCTAAAGAAAAAAAATCAAAGAATTAAAAAATTTTTAAAATAAAACCCACCCACCTCTGTCAGCTAATTTTTCCGTAGCTCAGAGTATGAGGACTGTGGTAACTTCACAAGACTCCCTGACCTCAGAACCTCCATCAGGGCCCCAAGCCACACTAACCAATGAGTACCTAAACCAGACACCATTATACTAGTGGCCTATACTTTGCAGTTGTGGGAATCTGAATGCTAATCAGAGAGCTGGGATGACTCTTCTTTGAAAACAGAAGAGAACAGGTGATGGACCACAATGAACACACTCTAGTATAGGATTTTCCAAAAGACATATTTACTGGAAATGAACTGACTGGATTTTTCTATTTAATAGTTTTAATGTCAGGATTAATTTATATGAATTTAAATATTTGATATAATGATTTTATCTGACACGGTAACAAGATTTTTGTGACCCTTTTGTTTCTTTTTTATAAACCTTGCCTATGTGCATATATGTCCGTTGTAAACTGTATTTAGCTGGGAATAGTGAAAAACATATGAAAAGAAAGAAAGGAAGCTTGATTTTCAGTTTGATCTCAAGAGACATTTGGGGAGGTTTGCTTTAAAAGTAAAGAAAGAGGTGAGAACAGAAGGAATGGACTCATTCCTAATATTTCTTGAGTGATGACCATGCTATAGATGCTGTGCTTGATCTTAATCCACCTGATAAGAGGTGGCCTTATTGGGTTTGCAGGGGACTACTTAGTAGAGATTTATCTGTTTTCCAGATAAAGGGAGTTTAATTAATTTCCCTAAGTCGCAGTTAACATGAGGTAGATTCTGAGTTCTAACCTGATAATCATTGCTACAATTTGGATCTGCAGTGTCAACAAAGGCCTAGATCTTAAAGGCTTTGTCCCAGCTTGGTGCCATTGGGAGGTGATGGAACTTTTAAGAGGTAGGGCCTAGTGGGAGGTCTTAGGTCACTTGGGGCATGCCCCTGAAGGGGTTATTGGGACCCAGATCTCTTTCTCTTTCTCTCTTTGCTCCTGACTGCATGTGGTGAGCAGCTTCTTTCACCAAGCATTCCTACCATGGTGTGTTGCCTCGTCACAGGCTCCAAAGCAATGGGGCCAACCATGACTGAAACCTACAAAACTATGAACCAAAATGAAACGTATTTTATTTAGAGACAGGGTCTCACTTGCTTTAGGATCTCACTAAGTGGCTGAGGCTGGCTTTGAACTTGCAATCCTCCTGCCTCAGCCTTCCAAGCCACTGGGATTACAGGCAGGCATGCATCACTGTGCTTAATCTTTCCTATTTTTTAAGTTGATCATCTCAGTTATTTTGTAACAGTGATGAAAAGCTGAAAAACAGTCATCTCTCTGTTCAGTTTCTTAGTCACAGGGGAAGGGGGAGTTAATTTCTTTAACATTATATTTAAACAATCCTACTTGGTCCTAAATAGAGTCTACTATTATCACCAGGCTGATATTTATTATTCTTGCTTTGTGTAGGAACTGAACAAAGTGCCTTAAAATTTCATTTTAATTACACATCACAAAAACCTTTCATGTACTATTGTCATCACTATTTACTGGAACCTTGAACAATTTCATAAATTGCCTAGAGAGTCACATAAACATTACTGATGGAAAACCACATTAAATAGATGAGTGCAATTTTATTTACATTCATATATATATATTTTTCAGGGAAAATATCTGCTAAAATAGCTATTTCCCTTCAAAGTGTTGGAGTTAAAGTTGAAATCTTAAATTCTCATGTATGAAATGAAAGTGGACTTAGATGTTCATTTTAGGACTTTCTTTCTTTTGGCACTCTCTTTTTCTAAAACATATCATGCAGACAAGTTTCCTTTTAAGGCACATCAGGCAAATAAGCAGTCTGTGTAATTGTACTACTTCAGTGTCTGAGCTACTAATACCTTGTGGCAGGTGCACAGAGATTTTAAGTCCCTGACCATTTAGCAAGCTGCTTACTCTAAGAATATACTCTTTGGTTATATTCACTGTATTTGAGAAATGCTCCATGTTCAATATTGTTCATTAGAGTTAGATAGCTTTTTAAAACATTATGCTGATGATTTAAGGACTGGGTTAATACCCCTACAGGGATTTTCATCTGTAAGACTTCTTTTCTTGTTTTATTGACCCAGGTAACTGCTGTTTCTAAAATCCTAACTGTGAGAATGAGATTCCCAGTGGAAGGTGAGAGCAGACCTCTATTTCTCTGAAAAGAGAGCCCAGATAACTTCTGAAGACCCCAGATTTGTGGAGTTTGAGATGAACATGCAGAGCACTGAGAAAAAGACTGTGAACTGTGGATTTTTCTGAATTTGCATTCACAGTCTAAGCTGGTGACTGCTCTAGTGGAATTTGGGGTACTTAAATTTAGGTGAGGTTTAGCCCATTTTCTTATGCACTGTGAGTGTCCAATATCTTGTCTAGGGAGTATCAGACAATTTATAAGAACTATATTCTCCAGAAAATCTTGTAAGCCAGAGGGCCTTGGCAATACTAACTTTCTGTTTTTCTTACCCTCTTGCAATCCTCCCTTGCTTTTATTCTTAGCATTAAGCTTAAGTTATTGTAGAATCCTGTCTGGGTGAGATTTGGTTACTCCTGAGCACAGCTTCTGTGCTATCAATCCTATAAAAAGGAAATTCTGCCTACATGGCCATATTACGTCTTTCTTTCCCCTCAAAAAACATACCATACTCATATTGGTCTGTGAGCAAATTCTGAGCTAAACTTCTACTGACAACTTAAAGATAAGTGGGTAGCTACTGGTAGGGAAAAAAGGTAAAATGATATAAAACAGGGTGGAACTTCCAAGGGAACTTATAATTCTTGTTTGCAAAGTCACACCTACACCTAAATTTGAAAAGACCAGAAAAGCCTGCACATTCTGTCACCCAGCTACCCTTTCCTACCTGGTGCATGCTTCAATTCTATTTCCAGAGCCATACCCAGAACACTCAAAATCATGCTTTCCAAAGTAGAGAGGGAGTTAGTGTGGAGGCTGAAGCTGAGACAGTAGGTGGCTGGGCACCTGAAGGAGAGTTAACAAGCAGGGGTAAAGTTAAGGAAGTGAGTGGTTACAAAGTAGGAAAGTGGCACTGAACACTGTTAGCAAAAAGGCACATGTTGGGGTCTATAAAATAGACTCAGGATTCTGTCAAACATTCCTTCATATGCTGATGATACACTATAACTTCTCAGAAATGAAAGAAATGCACTTCTGGGCCAATATGGTCGCTAGTATATCTATAACCAAAAAGCAAGTATCAGATGAACAGGGAAAGTAATTAGGAATGTTGCTTTTTTTTTTTTTCCTTCTATCACTTCAGCTTTAAAGATCAAGAATAGATCTGGAGGGAAAGTCCAAATGCTCCGGATTTCAAAGGACCTGGACTAATAAAAGAGGAAAACAACAGGTTGCTACAGGCAGAAACTCGATCCAGTCCGAGCTCCGCCAGAGTGCAGCCCAGGCCTCCACTGCCTTGCTGGCGGTCAGCTCTGCAAGGCCAAGCAATGGCTTCCTGTCTCCCTGGGCCCAGAATGGGTCCCATTTTTCCACGGCTCACCTGCTGGGAGCCAGGTGAAGAGTAGCAGCCAAGACGGAGGCAGCTCTGAGCCCATGCTGACCCCTTTCTGGCCCCTTTCAGCTCAGGGGTTTCAGGACTCCTGTGTCTTTCTTCATCAGCCGCCGCCCAGGACGCTCATCTCCAAAGAATCCCCTCGGGTTTCCCCTCACCCGGCGCCGCTCGGTGGGAGGGCAGGTTCTGGTCACCGGGCAGGTGACACCCGCTCATCCGCACCTGCGGCGCTCCCGGAGGCTCCGCCCTGCACCTGGCCAGGCAGCGGTTTCCTGCTCCGCCCCCGGCTCCGGAGGACCTCGGGCACCTGCCCTACCTGGCGCCCCCACCCACACACCTCCGGCGGCGCAGGCTGCCCGGTGACCGTCCTTCCCACCGAAGCACTTCTGCTGCCACTCGCCCCGCCCGCCTTGCAGAACGTTGCCATTTTCCTCCAGACGTTCATGGGCAGTCTCGCATCTTGCAAATTTCTCCCCTGTCGATTTCTAGAATTATGTGGATAAAACTTTCTAGGGTGTGTTTCCTGTGTTATATTTCCGTCCCCTCCTCTATGCTTAGAAAACTTTCTCCCCGCGACACAAACACTAATGAAATTTATGTGGGATGTATATTCAAGTTTTCTGGAAACTAAAGATCTTAGAAAGTGAGGTGTGAACCACAGACATAAACAATTTTCCACGATTGTAAAATTAACAGAAGCTCATTATAGAAAAAGTAGGGAAAAAAATGTAATGAAACTTTAATAAAACAGCCCTCTCCCACCATCCATAGGTAGGCATCACTAATGTGCCCTCGCCCCGCCCCCGCCCGCATCCTTCCTTGCTCTGGATGCTCTCCCAAGGTCAAGGTTTTGACTGTTTTTTTTTTTTTTTAATTGGTTGTTCACAACATTACAAAGCTCTTAACTAAGACTACTAGGTCTCTTTCCGCAGGCCACCTAGGATGGAATCTCAGTCTCTCTTCCTAGTAGGGACCCATAGGAAGGGCAAAGGGGAGAAAGGCACACTTGCCTTTGGGAACCAACCAAACAACAACATTAACTTGCAAAATCACAGATAACTCTGGTTGATGTTAAGTAGAGAGCAAGCATTTTAAATACCTCTCTCTTATCAGTGCTTTCTCATTGACTCTGCTCCCCCTTTGTAACAAACACAACCACTCCCATAACCTTTTTTTTTTTTTAAGAATAGAATTATAAAAATATGTTAAACAGAGTTTCAGGAGGCTCCTCTCTGGTCACTACTTTAGAAATCACTATTACTTCTCCTAAGCACATTTCCTGCCCTGCTCTGCTGTGACGGGTCCTCTTTACTGGTGCTGCTGGTGTCTTTCATCTCAGCTCCATTCAGAGGAACATGCTTGTCCTGGATCTGATTGAAAGTCTCAACTCACCCTCCTCCCCCACCCCCACTCCTGGGTCTGGCCTCTGGTTCCCACAATAGGCCTCTTCACTTTAAATGTTTTTCTTATAGTCTCTCCCAGAAAATAGGAAGTAAATTCAGGAAGTGTGTGGCCAAAAGCAGATGGTCAAGTACGTGTAAGAGACTTTAGATCTGCCAGGATAGGATCCCAGCACAGCAGCAGCAGGAGGAGGGCAATGGGGCGGGGGCTGTTTTAACCCCTTGGGGGGGATTCTGCACATAAACCCAGGAACATTGTATATGTTTGGGTGTCTGTGATGTTGAGCCTTCTCCTTCTCCCACTTATTTCCCATACCCTTCAGTCCCTGCTTTGATATAAATGCCACTCTGATACCCATCAAGCAATTATTTCTCCATGTTTGTTCCATGGAATGGTAATTTCATGGAATTTTTAAGAGTTTACTTTAAAAAGTGTTTTAAGATCAAATCAATTTGAGAAAAGCTGGATTAAGCTAAATGAATCAAAATTTCAGGACTTACTAAACCTTTGGAGTGTTACTGAATGTTTGAATCTCCAAGGGAATATGGCATGCAGCATCACTCAAAACCCTTTTCTTACAGATATTTTAGGGCAGATGTTCTATAGAACACATTTTGTGAAATCCTGGTGTTCTAAACCAAACATAATTGAGATAAGTTGGAAAATTAGGTAGAAACAAACAAAATGACTTTAATCAAGAACTAGAATTGCCTTATTTTTCTCTTAGGAATTACTCAGTTGAATTATTCAGTTGAATACCTCTGTGGCTTTTCTTGGTGAACACTTAGGTTAATTTTATTTCAATCTGTTCTCTGTCTACTATGTGCATCGTTGTTCTTCACAGTTATTATGCACCATGTGCCATGCAGTATGCTTAGAGCTTTGCATGCATTAGCTCATCAAATTCCCACAATAGAACTGTATGCTGAAAGGGCTGTTATTATAGATGTGAAAACGAAGATGACAAAGAGGTAACTTGCCCAAGATCACAAAACTAGTCAGAGGTGGAGTACTGAGTCTAGGTAAGACAGTCTGATTCCAGCTTAGCTATCATACCATTGACCCTTACCTCTGTGTGTCTCAATCTGTGTTCATAGCTGGCCAACTCTATCAGTGTATGTTAATATAGGTTTTTCCACTTGTATCATTCAGCTCTACATAAAGGAAATCTCAATTCCAAGCCTTAAACTCTCTTGAGCCAGTTATTCTTCCAACATTGCTATTAGTTCAATCAACATTAAGTAAGAGCATTTATTTGGCTCAGAACAACAGACAGTTGTCTCATTGCTAGACATAGAAGTAAAAAAAAAAAAAAAAATTGCTTGACCAGCACTATCAGCTCACTATCAGAGAGATAACTATTCTCATATACAAATTAGTAATAATAACAACCATTTTTTGGTATGAATCCTCTTAACAACACTGTTAGGCAATGAGGTATCATTGTCCTTATTTTAAAAAGGAGAAACTTAGGCACTAAGTTTTAGTAACTTATCCAAATTTCCTAAGTTTATTGGCAGCAGAGCTGAGATAAAAACTTAGGCAGTCTGTCGGCTGAGGTACCCCTAATCACCACCCTGTCTATATCATGCTTCTGTATTTTGACTGAGCCAGGGACTGACTACCAGTACTGTGCTGTGATCTCATTATTTATTATTATACTTCTTAGTGGAAACTTAATCCATGAATGTTGCTGAATACTGTGTGTTTTCTGAGTACTGGGCATATGCCTCTGTATTTAAAGAATGTAATATTCACTCATTTCTGAGTGTATTGAGCAAAAATGGAAATTATTTGTTAGACCCACAAGAAAGTGAAGAATCATGTAAGTTAAAATCATGCACCAGGCACTTAGGACTAATGGAAGGCAAAAAAATGAGAATAGTTAACTAATGCTAGCAAACTTGGACTATGTCTTATGTATTTTTATATGCCCTGCATCTGTATAGTTACCTGACATAATAAATAACACTCAATAAATATTTGTTTAGCTCTTTATTAATAGTTCCTAGAGGAAGTAGCATCTGATCTGGGTTTGAAAATGAGTCTTACTTTGTAAGCAATCCAAGAAGAGAGAGATCAGCATGCAAAAAAAAAAAAAAAAAAATCACAGCACCAAGGAACAGCACAGCTGAACTATAAGTGCTTCAGTTTTGCTAGACTAGTATGATAGAGATCTAGCTAAGGTGAATAATAGGCCTTGTCTGACCAGCTGGAGAACTAAGGCTTCATACAATAGACAATGAGGAGCCAACGAAGCATTTTTAAGTTGGGTGAGGCAGAAGTGCACGGTAGAAAGATAAACTTGGCAGCAGTGAGAAAAATGGTAGGTGGGAAATGAAACCAAAAGTGGGAGACTAATGAAGGAATTGTAACTATAATTAATGTGGAAGATACTGAGGACCCAAACCAATCATTAGTGGTGATTGGGGGAAGAATATAAGTTTTTGTCTGTTGACCTTGGATGAATGGTCCTGCATGTGAAGAATACAGATACACAGAGAGAAGAGCAGGTTTTTTTAATCACTTCAGACACATTACACCAGAGAGAATAGTGAATCATCCAAATAAAAGTCCTATGGATGGCTGGACAATTTTCTTAAGTGGAAGTGGCTGAATAAGTTTGGGTGAATGAGCTCATCACTGTGTGGGGAAGTCTGGGTCAGTAGGGGCTGGGAGACCTATTTTTGCTTAGTAGGATATAAGGAAACAGTTCATTTTGAAGTTGGGCTAAAGTCAGAGAGTGGTAAAATCTAGTGAAAGAAGTTTTGAAAAAAGTGTGTTCCGTAATTACCAATCCTATTCAACATTTTACTGGATAATCAGCACAATAAGAAAAAAAAAGAATCAAAAGGTTGGAACTGAAGAATAAAGATGTTGTTATTTACAATATTATGACTATTATCTAAACAGCATATCAAAGGAATCTATGCATTGCATATGAGGACTAGCAAATGAGGTTGCTGGAAACAAGGTCAATATATTAATGTCACTGACATTTGAATATGCCAGCAAGATACATTTGAAAGATTATGAGTTTAAAATACACACTTACAATAACAATAAACCTGAAAAGTAACAAAAAATAAATTTAATGAAATACATAGAATATCTTAAAAAAATCATAAATAGTTACTGAAAACATGTTTTTAAAGACCTAAATAAATCCAAAGATAGATCATGTTCTTGGAGAGAATACTCAATACCTTTAAGGATGATAATTCTTCCAAAATTAATAAATTCTATATATTGCTCACAAAAATCTGAAAAGTTTCCCCAGAATTTTTTACAAACTGTTCCTAAAATTGAATAGAAATTATAGGGGAGTAAGTTGTCAACACAATTTTGAAGAAGGAAGTGGGGGAATTTGCTCTAACAGACTTCAAAACTAGAAAGCTAGAGTAAGGAAAACAGTGTGGTGTTTGCATCCTTGGAGACAGACAGACAGACAAGTGAAACATAAAAGAGATTCAAGAAGTACATACTCTTATACGTGATGGAGACTTCATATGTAACAGAGGTGGCATATTCCAGTGGGACAACCATAAACTATTTAGCAAGCAAAGCTGAGACAAATGTCTTTTTTGTATGTTAAAAGGTAAAATATGTATCATTTCTTCATACTGCATGCAAAAATTTCAAACTTCTTATACTCCAAATGTTAAAAGCAAAAATTTCAAGGTTTTAGAATAAATATGGTGGAATATCCATAGGACTTTGAAGAAAAGAATGACATTTAAATAGAAGTTTTAAAACATAATTCATTTTAAAAGACATACGTAAGACTGTCAACACAATAAGAAATGCTATTTTGTCTTCTCCACCCATA